AAACAAGTCAGTAAAAGAAACAAGTTTGGGTGCCGGTTCGGTATGCGGTCTACGTTTCTAGTTCGGTATGCCGGTTCGGTATGTGCCGGTAAATTTCGATATGCGGGGAACGTCAATAATTATCATCAAATGCTGTTGGAACACTCACTAAAATTCTATATTAATATTTAGCACCAAAATAAAGTAACAAGTAGTTCAATGAAAATTCAAAACTTTTATTGGCTTCTTAAAGTAAATTTATATGACAAGATTTAATTAGAGGCATTTATACATACACATTTCTAACATCGTGCAGAAAAACGATAAACTTATCTTCTACATTTCTTCGTAGAACTTTCCACGCAAGATAATCCAAATGGAACTGCAAAGTACTGACAGGAACACCTCTCATTTTCTTCAAAATCGTAATTTTACCCTCCAACCAGGATATTTTTCTATCCCTTGCGTATGTGCTCCTGTTTGTCGGTCGACATAATTTTTCTGGTGGTTAATGGTTGAGTGCACGAAGCCCAATTGATGCAAATTTCCGTATGCTGGCCATTCATCCGAGTGAATTACTAACCCAGCTTCAACTTCTAATTTAAGTTTGTCATAATTTCCGTAGTTTGTTTTTGCATTCCTAATTGACCAGTAATGAGTTTGTAATAGTTTCTCTAATTTGTTTTTGTACCTATTTTAGGAAGACGTAGACCGCATTCCGAATCAGCTAAACTGCCGTAGATCGCATATTAGACGGTAGACCGCATACCGAACCGGCACCGAAGTTTGCAAAGTTATATATATACTTGTAGATTTCAATGTCAAACATTCACTGATGAACGAAGACAGGAAATATTTAAACAATTCTGGGGTCTAGGAAATTGGAATCTGCAGAATACATGCCTTACGTCTTCTACAGAGCTCGCTTTGCCCAAACGACGACGTACAGATTTGCAAATTTACGTTGCAAAATGTTGTTCTTAAAAACCTTGGATATCAGCAATGGACGTCATTCGAGAATTTTAAATGGGATATCTGACGTTTGAATCACTGTTGTTGATAAAAGAGGAGGAGCTCCACGTCCTAATAAACTATCACAGGATGTAATTGATAAGGTAAAACGACATATTGATTTATTTCCAAAATAACCAGGCATTATACCATACAATTACAATCCCTGTAGATGGCAACTTCATTCATTTTTGACCATAAGAAAAATGTATAAGTGTTACCTAGAGCACTGTCAAGAAGATAACTAAGCTCCTGTCAAGGAATGGTGCTACAGGAAAGTGTATAATCACCGAACAACTCGAAGGTGCACTCGACTCGGCGGAAATTGTTCGCGCATCTGGTCTGCGCATTTTGACCATAAGAAAAATGTATAAGTGTTACCTAGAGCACTGTCAAGAAGATAACTAAGCTCCTGTCAAGGAATGGTGTTACAGGAAAGTACCAAACAACTCGAAGGTGCACTCGACTCGGCGAGAATTGTTCGCGCATCTGGTCGCGCATTTTCAGAGCCATATTTTAGTGTGTAGCTACGTCGTTGGCATGATCATTTTGTGTTTGTTGTTGTCAGATCACATTTGTTTCGGTAATAATTTGATTTTGGGCAATCGTAAATATAAAGATACTGAATAAAAAGAAAGGCAGATCAGTCTGTGCGGCGGTGAACTGTAAAAACAGTTTATCAAATTGTAGTTACGGGCTTTTCCGTTGTCCATCAGACGAATCAAGGTAAGCATTTTTAAATTTACAATATTTTTATAAACTTTGACTATATACCTTATAGAGTACTTGAAAACTTGGTATTAAAACTTTATTAGTATATGGGAAATAAGTCAATACTCACAATCTTAAGTAGTTTTTATTTAATAAAGTTGGTGAATTTTGGGCTACCGGTTTCAAGGCTTATAATATTTGCCCCATCATCATGATCATGATCAAATTCACCAACTTTATTAAATAAAAACTACTTAAGATTGTGAGTATTGACTCATTTCCCATATACTAGTATTATGGACTCACATTGGCAACCTTTTCATCATTTATAAAACTTTATATTTATAAAATATTGTTGAAAACATTACTCTAATATAATTTGTTATTATAGAGCTGAAAGATGCTCTATTACCATCGGTGCATATTACCTATCGACTGTGTGGAGCATATTTTGAATAAAGAATGTTAACCATGAGTGAAACTAGGAACTGATTATTATTTCAAGCAGTTACAACTTTGTTCCTGTGCTTGGAAGGTTCGACAAGTGGTGCATTAACAGATCATAGCTACAGTAGTTCCCTAAATGTACCACATGCTAGTAGTGTCAAAGTAGATAAAACGAAAATCAACTGGTTAGAAACAACACAAGTTCTTAGAGAGAACACTCACATTTTATCTTTATGATGTCGAATTTGGATGGTATGATGTCAAATTTTGATTGTCAATTACATATGTTTAAATACAGAGCTAAGTTTAAAACTTTGGCAGAGGCAAAACGGCACAATAAATGTTTAAATAAATTTATTTTAACATTGTTTTTAAAATTTTTAAATTTAAGATCTAAATTTCATTCCTGATTAAGCAGAATCTTTTTATTAAAACTTTATGGGTCCTTGTTAAATTGTTTGTTCGGTCTGTTAGGCTGTTGTCTTCTGAGATTAGTCTTTGACGTCTCACCAACACTAGGGTGGATCTTCTGGAAATGTTGATGCCCACCCCTAGTGTTTGCGAAATGTTGAGAACTAATCTCAGAAGACAACAGCCTAACAGCCCGAACAAACAGTTTAACAAGCTAGACAATAGTCGTGAAAGCCTAACGGAGTTTGAACGCCTAAAAATGTGAGAATGTTCATTTATCTAAAACTAAAAAGTTTTCATCTAAGTTTCATTTTATAAATCATTTGTACATATTTGATAAATCCAACCCATATTTGTCAAAATTATTTTTTCAAATAAATATGTGAAGAAAGTGTCTAGCAAATTAATTTTAAATGTTAAAATTACCTACAGAAAAACAAATATGCATTGTCTAAATAGAGAGTATTACAAACTTTTAAATTCAATTTACCAATAATCATTTTTTTTTTGTTGGACGCATTCTGCTTAACTAGGTCCAATTATACCATAATTTTGTTTTTTTGTTTGTTTTTGTATCTAATGTAGCTTCTTAAATAAATGTTCAAAAAATTAGATATATTTCTTTTATAAAAGACATTATTTATTTATTCACTGGTAGTAATATTTACTTGTACCATTTTTACTCTAAACAACTAAAATGGTCCATGTACATTTTGTAAAAAAAACTTGACCTAAAAAAAACATTAAGAATTTTATATGAAAACATTAAGAACTTACTTAATTTGATTAAATTTTAAAATTTTGTTGTTGTGCCATTAACTTATGTTTTAACTCATTTTCTCAAAACTATCTAAATGTCACTTGTACCACTTTTCTTCTCAGCCCCTCAATTGTGACACATTAGATGGGTTAGGTACATCAAAAAGCTTTTTCATTATAATATCTACAATTAAAGCTCTCTAATAGTTCCATAAAACAAAACCAAGAAACTTAAAATTTTGAATAACACTGGGCCCATAACGGTTTCTTAATATTGTTCTGAAGCTATTTTCTTGTGGCATTGTAAATTAATTACTATTCAACTGGGAATAAGCCACAATTAAAGATAAAAATATGTTTATTGACGTTTCAATTTCAAGAAACTTACTTGCCTTAAGTATACTCACTTTTATATATGTATTAAAAGTGTAATTGTTTATCTAAATTAACTACATCATAATATTTAATTAAGTGCCTCACTATAAGTAATGTACTCTGAATACACATTTTATTAAATATATGTAAAAGCTAGGTAATTACACTTAGCTACATTCTAAAACAAGTTATTGTATATACAATACTCAATCAAATGTGTTTAAGCGATTTTATAAGAGAATTTGATCATTTTGTGAAGAGATTTTTCTAAAGAATTTGAAACCTGCATATAATAGACAGTCACTCCTTTTAAAACATTATGCAATATCAATAACATGACTGTAGACGAATTATTCCACGTTGCTAAAGACAGAGAAGCTTTTAAAAATGTGGTCACCAACCTCTGTTAATGGGGACGGCATAGGAAGAAGAAGAATATCAATAATAAGGATGTTAAAAAGTAGTAATGAACAGTGGTCACCCTGTGGTACACCAAACTGTGTAGCAAATAACAAACTAGCAAGCAAGGTCACTATGATTGAAAAATCCAAAAGATGGTGATTTACTTTGTCAAATGCCTTGGATAAATTAGTGTATATTGTATCCATCAGATATCTCCTCTACAAAGCACTCAATAGATTCTGTTGAAATACCAATAAATTTGTTATAGTCAACTTTACTGCTTCCCAAGTCTAGGGTTAAGGATAATCATATTTTCACTACCTTGACACCCTGTTAACATTGGTATTATTTTGACTGTACCTACACTGTTCGGAAAATTGAACAAATCCTTTTGCTATTTGTTGACCACCTGTAAATTCAATATTGTTATAGTGCAAATTTTATTAGCACCTTTCTATTATTCAAATTGCATCAAAGTCCTATAAGTTCAGAATAAAGTAACTGATCTAAATTAAAAATCTAATGTCAGTACTTAGCAGATGCCAGACAAGTATAGTTTTAAAATTTGTAAAAAATTCATATAGTCTGGCCAGGTACTCAGCACCAATGGAAAATTTAAATGTTTCATATCACTTTAAAGTTTATTGTGCTATAGCACAATAACCATGAGTGCTGCCAAGATTATTTTCCTGCATCTGCAGCTACACATACTATTAACTAATATAAAATATAAAACTATACTTGTATAGTTATGTACTTTCTTTCCAGACAAAGGGGCTTGTACCTATAACAAAATCTTCAGAATATACAGTATATGGCACAAAATTATTAGTTTGCAAATTCCTAGTAGAGGTTGATCTAAATATAATGAATAAAACCTATATGAAATTGTTAAAGAAACTTACATTCATATCACATTCAATGATGCTAATTGCATCTCCAGGTTTGGTTTCTAAAACACACAACTCATAAGCCTTTTGATTGTACTTTACTGCAATGACATCTCCTGTTGTAAGGCAAGCAAAAGATCTTAAACCATTTTCTAAGACTGCCTTAGGATTAGTAATGTCCAAGAAGTCTGGATTGAGAGGTTGGAATTTTGAAAATGTGCCAACAGGAAGGGAAACACTTTCCATCTGAACCAAATCTCCTTCAGTAAGTACTAAGTTGTTCATCATCTGAAAATACATGGCATTTATTTATCCATTGATTATTAAGAAGGTTACAACTTACCCAAAGTGGCAAATAAACTTTTCCTTCATCAGCAACAAATTCTAAAACTCCACAATGTGTTGTGCGATGTGTCTTTTTATTCACAAGCTTAAACAACATAGGATAGTTGATATTTAACCTAGTTAATTGTTCCAAAGCTGATGGGGGCATAATAACTACAACAGATAAACATTAAGAAATGAAATAGTCTATCAATGGAACAGATTTATGAAGTTCCAGATATATTAGATCTTACTTTTTCCACCCCTTTCAACGTCTTCTCGTTCATTGCCAGGAAACATAGCCACTGAGTAGCACTTATAAGTCATATTAAAAGGCCTGGGAATCTCAGGAAACATGTTGAATCCAAATTGAAACTAAAAAGTAATACACCAAATATAGACGCTTATTACACTTACACTTTTTACAACTTAATTAATTGAAAATTAATTAAACTTAAAAATTACACTTTTTATTAAAGTATTTCGAAGATCCTTACCATGTTGTCGGTCCGTTATGATAAATATTCTTATTTAAATGAAAATTTTCTTTTTAATATTTGTCATAAATACTTGCAGAGAAAAGAAACACAATCATGTATTGTGATTGTGAACAAAATGACAATCTTATGACAATGGCAATTGACAATATGACAACTCGCTTGAGTTTACCGAAAGCACAGAATAATAAACAATCAGAATGCCCACTCTCCATGGAAAATTAAGTACGCGCATCTCCTTCGCGCAGACGTTCCGCCATGTTTTAGAGGGAACCAGTGTTGTTTATGTGGTGTACATAGAAAAATTAACCCAGTTTAATTGACTTACGGCAATCATAGACATACTATACAATTATATTAACACTGTTAAATATAATAACATAAATATAATAGAAATAAACATAAATATAAACAATGACGTATAATATATAGATTCGGTGAGCGCTTTAAAAATTGTCCAAAACATGAATACCTTTGTTATTGTTTATTGTTTTGATACGAAGATGCACGAAGTTCATGATTTCTTACGAAGCATCACCACGATCACCACCGAGCATCACGAAGTTGATCTTGTGTTTGAAAACGTCATGGACGTAGGAAAACATTTTCTCCATTTTGTGTGTTTACATATTTTAAGTGACAAGCAAATTTTATTTTAAATTGTTGAGAGTTATTTACTTACTATTTTAGTAAAATGCCATGCTATTTTATAAAAATAATTTTTTCTCGTATAGACGGGAACAAAAAAAATCATAAATATTTAATTTTAATTAAAAAAATAATTATTGTCATTAAAATATAAATAAGCACGCCGCTGTTCTAGTAAACATACTACCAAAGAATATAGACGCTTCTATATTCTATATTCTTTGGATAGCGTCTATATTCTTTGATACTACCTTCAACACAGAATAATAAACAATTGCTTTATTATTCTGTGGTGATGCTTCTTAAAGCTGGATTTATAGTTTGACGTACTGTAGACGTAGACGCACTGGAGACGTAAGAAACGGACTGTAAATTTTTTTTCAATTTATAAATGGACGTAGTGGAATTTTTGCGCATGAGTAAAGACAAGAATTGGTAACCCACAACATTCACATTCAATATAACCTATAAATTATAAATTATACAATTATAGGAATAAGATTTCATAATAAACAAAGGGTGTGTGTTTATACTATTGTTTATTATAATATTCTTTTTAACCTTTTTGCGTGTTAGAATGGATTGTCAAATATACGAAGGTATGCTCCTTGGCGCTGTAGGATTGCTGCTGTGCTGTGTGCAGTAGCATTGCAAAAAACTAGAAGGACAATAATAAGGCGACCAAGACGTTATAAAACAAGACCAATAAACCGTAATAGAAAAATAGAGAATGCTTATAATTATTTTTTAAAGATGAAGACAGAAGATCCAGATCAATGTTTGGCATATTTCAATATTGGTGCAATGAACATAACCCATTCTTTCTTTTGATTGGTCAGACGTAAGAAACGCACTGTAAAAGTTGAAAGTTGACCAACTCTTCCGTTACAGTGCGTTTCGCTTACGTCCTGTCTTGCGTTTACGTTCATTTATAAATAGGAGTACACAAAAGTCTATGTTGATCTTTTTCCAGTGCGTCTGCGTCTACAGTCCGTCAAACTATAAATCCAGCTTAAGAAATCATGAACTTCGTGCATCTTCGTATCAAAGGTATTACAAGCGTCTATATTCTTTGGTATTACTATTAATATTGTGGACACTTTTTAAAGCGTTCACCGGGTCTATATATTATACGTCATTGTTTATATTTATGTTTAATTATATTATATTTATGTTATTATATTTAACAATGTTCATATAATTGTATAGTATGTCTATGATTGCCTTAAGTCAATTAAACCGGGTTAATTTTTCTATGTACACCACATAAACAACACTGGTTCCCTCTAAAACATGGCGGAACGTCTGCGCGAAGGAGATGCGCGTAATTAATTTTCCATGGAGATTGGGAATTCTGATTGTTTATTAGTCTGTGACTAACTAACTTTGATTTATGTCAAATGGTATGTTTCAATTTGACAAACACGTTGAGACCGGTGCATTTACTGTCTAAGCTGCCAATTCTCGTAATTTTTAACTGTTAAAAACAGTGGTCTGTGAAATTAGTCACAGACCACTAATAGGTGATCTGTGAAATTAGTCAGAAATACTTTAAATATTTATAGGTAGCCTAATTTTAAGATATTTATTTATAGGTTCTCTAGAACAAACGAGAAAACTCTCTACCGGGAAAAAATATAAAAGCATGTGAGTCTAAGTTACGATCAAGCAAAGTATTGAATTAAAGTGATATAAAAGTTCAATTAAAATGGAAAGTGAAATTCAAGCTGAAGCCTTTAAAGAAGAAGGAAATACTGCCTTTAAAAACGGTAATTGGGACGAAGCAGTAAACCTTTACTCAAAGGCTATCAGCCTATCAAAAGAAGATACTCGAATTATATCTGTTTATTATAAAAATCGGGCTGCTGCATATCTGAAACAAGAAAACTATGAAGCAGCACTACAAGACTGCAATGCGTGTTTACAAATTGTTCCAACCGATCCTAAAGCGCTCTTTAGAAGATGTCAAGCTCTGGAAGCCCAAAAAAGGTAAACAAGAATTTAGATTTTAAACTGCTAACATGTTCTGGTATTTATTTTTCTTTTTAAAATTGAAATTTTAAAGTACCCTTATTTAATAACTATTCTGTCTGCGTTTTGTTTTAATTTTTTTACTGAACAATTCGCTATATGTAGGTATGAAGAAGCATATAAGGATGCCACACAAATATTCAAAGATGATCCCACAAATAAACCCATTCAGCCCATTTTGGAGAGGTTGTATAAAATAGTGCAAGAGAGAGCAAAACAGAATGAAAAAACTAGTACTAAATTGGAAAGTATGACAAAAATTGCCTTTGATTTGAAAGAAACTACAGAAAAACGGGAGACTGCAATGAATAATCTTTTAGTATTAGCAAGGCAGCATGCTGGAGCTGAATTGATGGTTAAGTCTCCAATTCTTCAGGAGATTAAAAAACTGTTAAAAGTAAGTAATACTTTTTATAATGCATAATGTTTATTGATGAATAGAGAAGAATACACTTGAGGAAAAACAAGTTACAGTGGACCACTATAGTTTTAAACAAAAAAGTCTTCACTCTAGTCTATAAAAGTAATTTGAAAACTACCTATAGTGTCACTAGTTGATTAAGGGTACTTTACTTGTTTATATCTCTTATTATACATGTAGTAGAAATATTAGACTACTTACTATAGTCATAAGCCGCTTTAACAGTATTACAAATTGAATGATTATTTATGTATTTTAGGTTTAAGTACACATTAATTTACATCTTATTGTATTAAATGATTTTAAAACTGAATATTTTTATTTTAGGTTGAAAAGAACAAAGTTATTTTTACTTCAGCTGTTAGAATAATAGGAGAACTATGTAAGCACAGTGAGACTCGCACTAAGAAAGTTATAGAAACTATGGGAGTTCCTTGGTTTCTTGAGATACTTGATTCTGAAGATGTAAAACAAGTGTCCGCTGCAGAGCACTGTATGCAGTCTATTATAAATGCATTCTCTGGCATGGAAAATCGACCAGATACTAAACCTAAACAGGAGTTAATAGAAAGTAACAAGAAACAAATAGATACATTACTCACTTGCTTAGTCTATTCTATTAATAACAGAGTGATTTCAGGACTAGCTAGGGATGCATTGATAGAACTCATAATGAGGAATATTCACTATGATCAGCTCTGTTGGGCCAAAGAGCTAGTAGATATAGGAGGTGTAGAAAGGTTAATGGAATGTGCTAGTGAATTGGAAGAGTACAAGTATGAGAGTGCTATGAACATCACACCTTCTACAAGAACAATAGCTGCAGTTTGTTTAGCTAGGGTCTATGAAAATATGTATTATGATACACTAAGGGAAAAATTTATGGGAAAAATCGAGAATTTCATTAAAGAAAAATTGTTAACACCTGATGTTGAGTCCAAAGTGAGAGTGACTGTGGCATTAACATCTCTATTAAGGGGCCCTCTAGAAGTGGGGAATGCTCTTATAGGTAAGGATTTAATAATGTTTTAAATTAAGCTGATTTATATACACACACGCACACACACACACACACACACACACATATATATATATATATATATATATATAATATATATATATATATATATATATATATATATATATATATATATATATATATATATATATGTAGATATATATATATATATATATATATATATATATGTAGATATATATATATATATATATATATATATATATATATATATATATATATGTAGATATGTAGATATAGATATATATATATATATATATATATATATATATATATGTAGATATATATATATATATATATATATATATATATATATATATATGTATATATATGTAGATATAGATATAGATATATATATATATATATATATATAATATATATATATATATATATATATATATATATATATATATATATATATATATCCCTTTCAGGCCTGACTTCTTTTTTATAAAAATATTGGTTTTTAATGTTAGTGCCGTTAAAGGGACCTTATATTAAGGCCACAAAAAATATTGAAAAAAATACTTCCCCTCCACGGGGCAGATATTCACCCTGCACGAAAGTGACGTTCAGGCTTAAAATGTGTTTGTGCACTATCGTGACTTCTAGGTATTTAATAGGTTAGTGGTTTCGGTTAAATAATAAAAATGCATAAATAGATGCAAGCTATATTAATTTAAAGAGTTTGAAAGTAAAGGTAAATAATTTTACAAACATTTCTCCTAAAAACAAATGTTGCCTTACATTTATTTCTTATGATACATCGCAAAACAGTTTTGTTTTCGTGATAAGCAAAGGTATACATTACATTTTTCACAGCGTATTTTTGACCGACTGTGACAATTTTCCATTCTACATGCACGAGGATTATCGATTTCATCGAAAGTGGGAAAATGATTATATCCATCGTATTTTTTAACCTCCGAGGGTTTAGCTGATCGTCTGTATTTAGGAGAGGAATTGGGGTTCTCGTTTTCATTACTTTCTGTTTCTTCGTGATTTCTTTTTCGGTTAGGTGGTTCGTTAACAAGCCCTTCAGCTACTTGCATCCTGAACTCCAAAAGATCCATGATTTTGTTTTTAGGAACTGCAGAAGATTCAGATTCTATTTTATACAATCTCCAAGAATTTGCTACTGCTAAATCGAAAAAATGGAGCATCACTTTAAGAGTCCATTTGGTAGTTTTCATAAAAGTCCGGTAATACTCTAATGATTGATCTAGTATGTCTACCCCACCCATATGTTTGTTGTAGTTAGCAATCACTTTAGGCGCAGTAACATCAATATATTTTGCTCCCTGTTTATCCCAGCGTTTCACGTTAATAGTTTCATCTGAAGATGTACAATTGGATGAAATAAGAACAGACTTATTGTCCTTCCACTTCACAACAACTATATTGTCGCATACAAACTGTTGACATTCACCACGTTTCATGTCTCGATCTGCTTTAAAATCCATACTATTCCGCTCTGGCAATCGGTTCATCATTATCGTACATGTACCATGCAATCCCATTACATCTAAACGTTCCAATAGTGGTACGGAAGCAAAATAGCGGTCAAAGTAAATGCAGCTTCCTGGAGGAATAGATTTTGAAAGATGGAGGACCACTGAAGCTCCGACACCTAAAGACTTGTCCTCTAATGGAGTTCTTATACCTTAGTATATCTCGAAATCAATCATGAGTCCATCATGAGTAGTGGCTACAAATGCTTTCAAACCTTGAGGCCTAGGTTTAGTTTTGATAACTTGTCGCAATCCCCGAGGGCACGTACCGCTAAATGGGATTATCTGTTCGTCGATAGAGTAGTATCCTGGCATTCTTTCTAATCTGTAGCACGTTCTCTTAACTTGATCCAATACTGGTTGTACTTTCCAAAGCGAATTCGTATTTCCTGGCAAAGCTGAGTCACTATCTACGACATGAAATGCCGTACGTAAAATTTTGAATCTTTCTCTTGAAATTACGTTTGCAACTAAAGGCAAACGCATTTCGTCACGCCAGTACATGTATAATCGTGGATAAGGGATACAACCCATAATGATATGTACCCCAATGAGTTTTTTTAATTCTGTTGCCTTAGTGTTCAGCACACGACCAGTTTTTCGAAGGTGGTAATTATTAGTACACATAGCAGCATTCTCAAAAAAATCATCATCAAAATAATCTTTGAAATATTCCAGTGGATTTCTAATGTTGATGTCTGATGACCGTCTTACTGAATAACTGTGATCTTTTTGAATAAATGGCACTTGCCTCCAGAGCCTTCTTCGACTGATCACGCCGCTGTTCTGTTTTAATTTAGTAGGTTTTTGACTACTATTGTCTCCTAATACAACAGTATTTGGATTACCAGAAGAACAAGAAGGTTCTTCGGTGTGAATAATATTTTTCAACGGTTTATTACTTTCTATTACTTCTTCAATGTCACCTATACTTTCTACTTCTGAATTATCTCCATCACCAATAAGCTGCAGAACTAATTCATCTGTTAACTCGAGTTCTGCAACAATAAAAAATTAAATTAAATAAAAAAAAATTAAAAACCTCATTTTAAATACATGTAACAAATAACTTTTAAAAAGTGAATACGAGACGGACACGCACGATCGTGCTTATTTACTTTTGATCAAGAAAATTTGCTCGTGAAAATAGATATTTGTATGTAATTACTATTTCCATACATTATCTATTCCTTTACAAACATTATCAACTCAATTATTAAATCTTTCTACAATGAAAATGAGTGAAAAATGGTACTTACTGCGACCACTGCCATCATCAAAGTACACCGACATTTTTGCTCGCCGATAAACAACATTTAACTGTCTATTAACGTGAAGATGCGTTAGTATACACTTAGTATGATTCATGTACTATCATTTGGAGCTGCTATGACCCTGAAACGATCAGTTTCTAATGCGCGGGAATTTTTGAAATGAAACGTCACGATCGTGTAGGGGCGGCCTGAAAGGGATATATATTATATATATATATATATATATATATATATATATATACATATATATATATATATATATATATATATATATATGTAGATATATATATATATTATATATATATATATATATATATATATATATATATATATATAATATATATATATATATATATATGTATATATATATATATATAATATATATATAATATATATATATATATATATATATATATATATATATATATATATATTGTAAAGACTACGACCGTCAATTAATATAAATAAATTATTCAACTAGTGAATTCAGAGGTTAATCGGTCATTAAGGTTGGCAAATAAAAAACAGAAGTCAACTACTTCATAAGTTTATAGAAACGTTTCGCTTTATACTTCTAAAGCTTCATCAGTTCTCTAAAATACAAAGATGACATAGAGTTTATAAGAAATACAGATATAATAATTTATTACTTACAACTCAATATGTAGTATTAAAGATGTTAATAAATATGTACTTAAGTTTACTCATTAATATAGAACTAACTTAAAAAAAAAACAGAAACAAAGAACACAAAAACTTTGCAAAAAATAATCTCATTCGCAGAAACGAAGATTTAACAAAATTTTAAAACGTACATTTGGCTTCATTTAGAGATCGTTCTCCAATGAAGACAAACAAACACTGATTTATTGCAATCTCTGCAAACGACGTGACGCGGTACCGAAAATTTTAATTTTAATGAAACATCTTACGAAATAAATAATACCATTATTCATCATTAAAAATAGCCTTATTTTCCGTTCAAAATTTACACAATCGTCCCATATCTCCAAGTTTCATTAAAACATAAATTACCAAAAAAAATCATATCAAATTTTTCCGTCATACAAATCCACCCGTCCAAGTAATCCTTCAATGACCCCCGTAGAAGTTCATAATTGTCTCAAACCTTGGAATTAGTTGCACATATGGCCCTTAAAATTTTCGGTACCGCGTCACGTCGTTTGCAGAGATTGCAATAAATCAGTGTTTGTTTGTCTTCATTGGAGAACGATCTCTAAATGAAGCCAAATGTACGTTTTAAAATTTTGTTAAATCTTCGTTTCTGCGAATGAGATTATTTTTTGCAAAGTTTTTGTGTTCTTTGTTTCTGTTTTTTTTTTAAGTTAGTTCTATATTAATGAGTAAACTTAAGTACATATTTATTAACATCTTTAATACTACATATTGAGTTGTAAGTAATAAATTATTATATCTGTATTTCTTATAAACTCTATGTCATCTTTGTATTTTAGAGAACTGATGAAGCTTTAGAAGTATAAAGCGAAACGTTTTCCATAAACTTATGAAGTAGTTGACTTCTGTTTTTTATTTGCCAACCTTAATGACCGATTAACCTCTGAATTCACTAGTTGAATAATTTATATATATATATATATATATAATATATATATATATATATATATATATATATACATATATATACAAGAAATACTGGATATTATTGACTGTCGATATAAACAAACAACACAGTTTATTAGGGTTGCAGTCAGAAATATTGGCCGGGATGTTAAAAAAACACTCTTTTGACTTTTTGTCGAGCTTTCGGAATATTTTTATTCCTTTTTCAAGACACTGTAAAAGACAATTATGTAAATATTTAAAAAATATCACAATTCTTCAGTGTAACTTACTAGTCGTTGAGATTATTTTTGTAAGCATTGAACACTCAACATTTATACCACACATTAAAATATACAATTATGGACATAATACATCATAAAATTTTTAAAATTTGTTGTAAAAATAGTAAAACTTGATTGATGGCATGTTTTACTGGTGTATATTAACTCATACAGAGAATGGAAAGAAAAAACAGTGTAATTAATATGTAATTAGGTGTAAATTGATGTTATCATTCATTACAAGTAATTACACTGTTTTACTATTTCTTTCCATTCTCTGTATGAGTTAATATACACCAGTAAAACATGCCATCAATCAAGTT